TCCCTTGGTAAAACAGGTAAAAGTAAGCTTAAGCTTTATTTTGTTCAGCTTTTTTAACCAGCGTTCAAGTCTGTCTAATGGTGTCGATTTGTCTTTAAAAAGTTCGGAAATATCCAATATTTGACAAAATAAGACATCCAAGGTAAATTTCACTAAACTTGATCTTTTATTGGATTATCTGTAGTTTTTATTGTTTTTTAAGTAAAATTAACCAGGAATTCAAAGCCTAAAAATGTCCGCCATGGAAAACTTTGTCTAAGAATTTTTCATAAACAAACTTGCCCCTGGGGTGGCTGGTCGTGGGTTGTGTACATGTGACAAAATTTCTAACGGGGCGAGTAGTAAAGTCGAAAACAAAAACTCATGCAGAGGAAACGATGTAGTGCATTTTAATTTCATTTTTTCACTTCATGGTTTTCATTTTGGGGACATTATCTTCATCTCCAATAAAAATAATAATTAAAGATTTTTTCTAAATTGGGCTCCCTGTGCCCATTGGGAGCTCCGCTTTTATGTGCCTAAATTTATATATTATTCTCTGTAAACAAGGGAATAAAAAAAAAACAACTGTTTATTACCATATTACTCTAAACGAAAACAAATATTTCATCATAATCACGTGTTACGTCGACGTCCGATCTCATTAAAAACTGCATCAAACATTAATTCAATTTTTATGTGACTTATGTTGCAAAAAAGATTTGCAGTCGGATAAAACACGTTTATGCACCAGCGTTCCAAACGTGAAAGGTAGCGGTCAAGCGTGAGGGGGTCCAGCCACCTTAATACACAGGAAATGAGAAGGATCTCATGAAGAATTGACGATTTGTCTAACCGGATTTCATTTCGTGAAATACAACAGAATGTCCATTACAGCGATTCACCACCAAGGTTGCCAGTATTGGTTTCCTGTGTTCTAGCACTTCTTTTGCTCTGTGTGGTTATTTTTTTGAATTTAGCCCGTTTTAAGGATTTTTTCCCCACCAGTAAGAAAGAAGAAACTCTTTTTTCTTCTCTTTTTTTTTATTCAAAAAATAACCACACAAGAAGTGCTATTTCTCAATGATTAGGTGGTAAAATTTGGAGGCTTTATTTCACGTTTTCTGAATGATTTTATTGACATTTTTGAATGAATCCCTATACATTTCCTTATTCTCTTCACATCCCCATAATACTTTGCGTCTTTGGGGGGTAACCAGTAGGTAAAAACCCACTTACTTTGCTAAAGGCTGATCAGTCAATGTTGACAATACCTTGTTTGGTATCCAAAAAAAAAAAAAAATGAAGAAGTAAAAATCAGAAAAAGAAAGAAACTTGAAGACGTTCTCAAGGTAAATTTTAAACATTTTTTTGGAAGTCAATACATTTTCTGTAAGACCAAAACTCTTCATGATCTGTACACACAAAAATAACTTGGAATAAACTGATAATCAGTATTGTACAGATAAAAGCAGGTATAGCATAAATACAATTAAGAAACCTTTCAATTTGGGGCAGTTTTTTGATTGGTTACTCCTAAAAGACGCAAGGCATTATGGGAATGTCAAAGTAGAGAATAGCATGACACCACAGAAACCAAGCTTGGGCTACCTGTGCACGTTATCGTTTGGATTGTGACGGATTGTGACGGGTCGACAACGGATCGTCTTGACCTTTGGCGATCCTTCTCGCCGGATTTCATTTCGTCAATATGCAGTCTATGAAGTCTCGTTCTAAAAATCAAATACACACTTATGGTTCGTTATTATGATATGCCTCGTTATATAAAGAGTATACAGAGTAATCGATCATTATTCATGACATGCCTCGTTCCATAAAGTGAAATTCATCGTTTGCAACCGAGTGGTTTTTTGCTGCCAATCACGTGTATTTTGCTGGTGCAAGAAAATGTTTACTGGGTTTTCGGGTTCTAATCAAAAAACAAATCCTATGGCCATGCAGAGCCACCAATAATACAACTCTGAGCAAAGAATTGGAGTATTAGAGCAGTACTGAAATAGTTCCGTATTTTTATTATAAATAAATGGCGAAAACTCGCTGGTGGACTAGTTTGGTCCACCAGGATGGCAGCCAAAATAAAAAAGTATTTCATGCAGAGCAGTTTTTATCAAACTCACTTTTAAGACATACATAAATCGAATTTAAAAACATTTAGAACACTAAAAATGTTTCAACGACTTTTGCAAACCCTAAAGCAGTAAGGTCAGAATTATGTGAAGAAAATCAAATTTTCACAACCTGAAAACAAAACGGTGAAACGATCTGAACTTCTCTAAACTTAGGCATCATATAGTTCTCTAAAACATATCAAAGAATGAAATCTATAGCATTCGATATATATAATTTAAGTTGCTATTTTCTTGGTCTATGTGAGGTAACTTGCAAAGGACGAATAGACTGATCGATCGTTATATATTATGACCGTGCCTCGTTCTGTAAAGTGAAATACAGACTTATCGATCGTTATTACTTGTTTTTCGAAATAAAGTTAACATTGATTATATATATAAGGACCGATAAATCAAGTTTTAATAAATATTATAAATAGATTTAGAAGCTAAGTAATACTTATTTACGATAGGCCATAATGGCCATGCTTAGTATGTCCGAGCATCAGCACGCTTTGATCGTATAGTAATCATATACTTTCTTATCAACGTTCTATTCCAGTCCGTGCCGATCACGGCATATGCATGCTTACCTGTTAGTGATGAAAAAGCTTTCCACGTTCGGACTTTTAGCGCTTAAAAATGCTTTTCTTTCTATAGAAGTGCGGTTATCATACAGTCAAGCCAGTTTGCACTACTTTCGCGCCGATTTTATAAAGACACCAACCGAAAAAAATTCCCTATCACGTGATCTGGCACTTTCTTGAGCCCCGGATGTAATCGATTCACTTCCGCTTTTTTCTGTAATACCAGTTGGTGTTTCCTTTCACTCGACTACGGCGCCAAATTACT